GATCGCTTCGAGTGCTGCGCCTCCACCGCAATAGTCTACAAGACCACCATGCAATGGCTCTGGCCAAGGAGTTGCCGGCGTGGAGCCTCACGGTGCTCGATGTCTCTCTCAACTACATTGAAAACGCTGGCATCGAGGCGCTTGCCAGCGCACTGCCGCACCTCCCGACGCTGCAGCGCCTCGACGTGAGCCACAACGCGTACGACACGATCGCGCATGCGGCTCTGGAACGCGCGCGGCGGCCGACACTGAGACTGCAGGGGAGTGCTGACTTTTGAAAATACAACCACGGAGCAGCTGTAAGTAGGGTTAGGTGTAGGGCTAGGGGAATAAACAAACAAGCACACTGCGATCCACATGCACAACCATTTATCTATCTATCTATCCATTCCCAGCGTCTGGCCAATGTCAATTACGGTGTGGGTTGCGGCCCACTCTAAAGTGGCGTACTGTCTTGATCTCTTAACGCGTGCAATTGTATACCGGTACAGTATGTTGACAACAGGTACCACATAGAGATTGTCAATTACAACTCGTCTTTCGTCGGCGTTTCGACCGGGAAGGCAATCGACTGCGAGAGGCCGTCGGCCTGCGCAAGGCGGTGTGTCCGGAGTTCGTTGCCGTCCATGTCCTTGAGCGTCCACTCGTGGCCGTCGTACGACTTGAAGAACGCTTGGCTGTGGGCTGCGATCTCCTGCATGCGCGTCGTCGACCAGTAGAGCTCGATGGGCACGTCGAGGTTGTTGTAGAACGTCACATCGATTTTGGTCCCGTCGAGACCGTACCGACGCCGGTTCCACACCCAAAGGTTCGCCGCCCTACGCCGCGAATGAGCTCCTGGAATCACGAGAGAGAGAGTTCGATACCATTTCGTGCCATCGAGGACGGGGCACCCGCCGTGCTCCGACATGGGGTCCAGCTCGCCGTTTCCCTTTTGGCTGTAAAACAAGACGGCGTGCGTCTTGCGCGGGTACGACGCCAGCCTACGCGTCCCATGAGCTCTTGAACAAGAGACGGTGCGCGTACTTGGTGTGGCACTGCATGGCCATCTTGGCTTCCCAGCTGCCCTTTTCAAAGATCCCGAGCTCGTCGTCGGTCGGCACTTGGGCGTGGGCCACGCCGTCCGGCATGTTGGTGAGTGGAAACACCGTCTGGCCACCGCGCGTGACGTTGCTCAGATACAGAAACACGGTCGCAAAGCTACATGCCCATCAGTCATCAAGAGATTACGACGACGACCGAAGACGTACCGGTTGGAGCCGCCGGTTTTCGGGTTCCAGTTCCAGTCGGGGCTCGTGTCGACGCCAAAATAGTCGGTGTGGGGAATGTACGCTTGCTTTTGCTGGTACCGCAGCAGCTGGAGCCCGTCGGCCATGTCGTCTACTCGTCAATTGCAGCTTTTTTCATGGAAAAAACGATAAAATCACCTTGGTAGTCGCCAATGCCGAGCAAGTCAAACGCACGCTTGTTGAGGCTCACGGCGATCTCCGACTCGGAGTCGAACGCGTTCTCGCTCGTACGCACCGTCGACGTCCTATATGCAGGACACGTGGGATTGGACTCCGAACGAGGAGACAAGGTGTACAGTTTCGCGCCGCTCTGGTGCCCGACGAACGACCGCTGAAGCTTGGAATGCTCGTTGTCAATCTCGAGGATGCGCTTGACGAGGCCGTCGGCTTCGTCGTTGGTGAAGAAATCGTGGATGAGAAACACGCGCGGCGACTCGTTAAAGGACTCGAGCACGATCGGCTTCTGCGTCGGGCTCTGCGTCGACTCGACCGAGACCGTGTGGCCCAGCTACGCGCCTCGGTTCATATACAATCGAGCGAGAGAGGTGGATGGGTACCTCGACAAACGGCCAAACAAAGAGCAGGCCCGGCGCCACGAGGTAGAGCCGCTCGTTCTCTTCGATTTGGTCGATGGACTCGACAAGCTGCCCGCGGCCATTGTACACGCGATCGGCGACAATTGTTTTGACCGACGCGTCGTCGAGCATCCCGTCGACAGGGACGAACGTCGAAAGATGCGTCGCGAGGTCGAGCCCGGATGTCGCCATGGCGGGCGTGACGTCGACAGCGACGCCGTCCACCGACTCGCCGTTGCGGTACACCGTGACGTGGACGGCGTGGGCGGCGAGCGCTAGTAGCAGCAGCAGAAGCAGCGGTCGGAGGCCCATGCTCGAAATCGCCAAATGCGCCTCATGGCGACACCGCTACGCAGCAGCAAACCGCACCTTCGCCGATTCCTCTCTCGATTTGTATGCATCTCGATTAAGTGCGTTACATAGATACGGCGTGAGGAGATCCAGAGGACGGCTCTGCCGAGCTGGCGCGATGGCCTCGCCGACGTACGCGGCAGCGCGCGAGCGGGGACCCTTGTCCTAGCATTCTACCGGTCTTTCTCTAGCAGGTGCTGACGTACGTAGACCGATCATTGACGTTGGCGCGGGTACAGATCTACTAGTAGAACGAATCGAACGTGCTGTTCTGGGCTGGACGATCGAACGACCCTATCCAGCGCCAATGCCATCATCTGCTGGTCGGCTAGTTGCTATTTGCACAGCACGTTTCTTGCAACCAAGGATGCAAGAAGCCCTCGGTCGGTTCCTTGGAGCGACACTGCGCCTTGCACTACTGTACGAGGCTGCCGCGAAGGCAACGCGACCAGCTCCTTCTCTCTGCACCCATTGCGGCGGCAACAAGAATCAAGATGATGGCAACCATTTAAGATCTTAGCCGCGTATCTTGGCTTCGACCCGAGCGAGGACGTCCTCGCCCATGGTCACGTCGATGTCAGAGGTGGCGTCGGCTACAAAGCGCCGCAGCAGCACCGCGTAGTTGACGAGGAGGTTTGGGAACTTCTTGCCGTGTGGCCACAAGTCGACGGCCGCGGCAATCCCTTGTACATGACTGCGTGTCGATCCGGCCGTTGCGCACCTCTGCATCCAGTGGCGCGCCTCGCCTTCCAGCAGCGCCTCGAGCACACTGTCGTATCGCGCATCCGACGCACAGAGCGCCTTGACGCCGTCTTTCAGGAGCCGAAGGTCGACGCTGCTCATACTGGCAACGTCCAGCGCTTGGACGGACGAGAGGCACTGTGTAAGCATCTCGGCATGGATCGGGCGACTCTCGGGTGCCAAAAGGGGCACAAGGCGCCGCAAATTCTGGAGCTGGGTCGGCGAGCAGACGTTGAGGTGTGGAAGGTACCGCCGGAGATGTTCTTGGACGAGCGCCATCGCGGCTTCGTGCAGCGCGTCGTCCTCTAAAAGCGAGCTCCAACGCATGTCTTGAAAGGTGCGTGACGACGTCCACGGCTGCCACGTCGCCAATTCGACGCGAACGTATGGACACACGAGCTGCGCGAGGGCCAAGTCGCCGTACGCAGCGGCGTACATGCCTCCATCGGCGGTCTTCCACGCCGCAAAGCGCTCTAGAACATGCTGCAAGTCGCTGTAGTCGTCGTCGACGTCGGCCCAGATCGCCTCGCTCATGCCGAGCATGCGCTTGTCCTGGGGCACGAGCGCCTCGATCGATGAGATCGCATCGAGCTTTGCCCGCAAGCAAAAGCAGAGCGTCGAGAGATACTCCCACATGTCTTGCGCCACGTCAAAGGTCTGCGCGTCCTTCTCGAGCTGGCTCTCGAGATCACGGATCGCAGAGGAAGCATGGGCCGCGTCGACGGATGCACGCATGCGGTCGCGGTCCCGGAGGTCCACGCGCTCCGTGAGCGCCTCGTGCGTCGCCTCAAGTGAGATAAGAAGCGACCCGA